AAAAAAAAAAAAAAAAAAAAAAAAAAAAAAGAAGGTCTATCAAAGAAGGTCTATCAAAATTGTCATTAGAGTCCAGCAGAGGATGGATAGGCCTCCTTTCTTTGCTTTCCTGTGGCCCACTGCACCCCATATAGGGAGGGATTTGCCCCCCTATGAGATGACTTGGAAGACCTCCCTCACTGCTTCCCAGGCCCAGAGACCAGCAGTTGGCAGAACTCTAACCATTCCTTTCTCCAGTTACTGCAGGCACTCCAGTGCTCTATCCAGGCTGTTCATTGAACTATCTGAGAGACCCAGTTTATCCCTGAGTCTACCATCCACTTCCCTTGTTCAAGTCCAATTATATTATCTGGGTCAAGCAAGTAGACAAAGGGACACTGAAACTAATCTGGTAAGGACCTCGCAAGGGTGATTCTACAGCTGTGAAGGTAGCTGACATTGCATCGTGGATCCACCTCATTCAAGTCAAGAAAACAGAACCCACAGACACTGTTGCCAAGTGGACTGTCTCTGGACTATGCACCAGTTGAAATTAAGATTTCATTGGGCCCCAGGACCTTCCACTCTCTGCCCCTCTGTCATCTCCTAAGTCTTACGTTTTGAACTATGGGTATGAATACAGGATCATGTTCCAAGCCACACTGTCCTCAGGCCTGAACTGGGAACTGTGGAAGACAGAAACAGGGAAAGTATTAGCTAATGTGAAATGCAGACCAGCAACCCATATTCTATATTGACTTTTACTTGCTGATGCCTACTTTAAATATCTGGTTGCATTGGAGAAAGGAAAGATATGGTAATTTATTTTTTGAGATTAAAAATATTGAATTTACCATTCTACCCATGTCCTGTGGCTAGGCCCCCTAGTTGCCAGAGACAAGGGAGTTTTCTTTCCAAAAGTTATGACTGTAAAACTGGGACTTTAAAACTTTAAAAAATATTCTGGCCTCTCAGAAACAGGAAATCAAACTCTATGTCACAGGAAGGGACATTGAGTACAGTTAATCATTCCCAGCAAAAAATCAGCCAGGATTGCTGGTTATGTTTAGACATCTGACCCCTGTACTACATAGGGATAGGACATAACCAGACTGTTAGCCCATTGACTGACAAAGGTCACTGTGGCTGGGGTAACCCAAATTAACATTAGAGGACTTTTAAGGGGCTAAAACTTGTCTAATATGCACATTTTTAACCTAGGGACTTCCCCTTACTCTGACGCCTGCTATTCTGCATGATGGGTTGATTCATCTGGATAACAATAATATTTCTGAGCCTCTGAGACCACTTGGTGGTCATGTTCCAATAATTTGACTAAATATGCCTCTTCTGATGCTTTCCAAACCGAGTAGACAGGTTGATCAGGACCTAGAAGTAATAAAACAAGTTAGATCCTACAAAATTGGAGTGGCTTAGACTTACTTCTCATGAGATAAAGAAAACGATCTGGTTTTGAGAAAAAAACTATTGTTTCTACGCTAATTGGTCAGGAGTAATTTTAAAAAATCTTGCCATGGCTGGGGAAAATCTTCACGAGACAGAGAGAGAGAGAGAGAGAGAGAGAGAGAGAGAGAGAGAGAGATCAGATAATTGATATCAATCTTTGTTCTCTTGGTACCCCTTGGCTAACTACTCTGTTATAAACATTGACTAGGCTTTTAGTTTATAGTCCGATTGGATTGACAGGCCCATGCATCTTAAATTATGGGGCCAATTATGTATCAGTTCAATAAAAATAATGGTCCTTAGAACCAGCTAGGCCTCTTTAGAGCAGGATGAGCACATAATTTGACTGATTCACTAAGATGAGTGGGGAATATAACAAGGCTCCAGACCTTAGTAGGCTCTCAGACCCTTAGCACAACTGACTTCATGATGGAATATCATTCAAGTTATGAAACTCAGCACATAGAAAGCACCACCTGACAAAATTAAAACAAAAGCTTAATCCATCAAAGCACATAGGTATGCGAAAGTCTCTAAATGTACTAACCATGCTTTTTGGCTTCTGTAGTTCTGCTTCTAGATAATTGTTCCTGTTAACTTAAGTATGTCAAACTTGGGCATGGTTTTTGTGCTTAAAAACTCACCCTGAGAAAGGCTCAGAGCTAAACTGGGATCCTGAGCATCCAGTGTAGTTACCGACTAGCTAATAAAGACTTTCTATTGGCTTAAACTCTCATCCAAGAAATCTTCTCTGGTGAATACTCCACATCAACATGACATTAGCTGGTACTTATTACTATCTTCCTCTGTTACTCATCCTGTATTTCCTCTACCCTTATCAAGCACCTTAACATTTCTTGGATTTTTTTCCTGGAGGAGTGACCCATATCTTTTTTCCTGAAGGATTGTAGACCTTTGTCATGCTGCCTGGATTGTGTTGTTGTGACTTTAATCACAGGACCCGGTAACACCAAGAGACACCAGGAAGGATCTTCTACATGTCATACATAATCATCCTTGCCTACACTGTAGAGAAGTAATCCAATTTCCCCATTGTAGTCTACATCAGTCACCCATTCTAACATCATTATTCCTTTCTTATCTTGTTGATTTAAGGGAATCAGAAGCACAAAGTGGACAGGAGGACGTCTGAAATTCCAGCTCAATGGAATATTTGTTATGTCAAGTTATTCCCCATCTATATCCAGAACTTCCAGGTCTTAAGTTACTTAAGGTGACCTTAAGTCACCAGAATTTAAGGTCATAGTAACAGAAAGTATAATTTTCTTAGTGGGTCATTAGGAGGAATAACAAGAGGAACTTTTCCTGTTTCCACATCTTTATTCTTGCATCCATGAATCCTGGCTGTAGGAGAATGAGCACCATATATTAGATGCAGATTCAGAGTATGCACAACTTTTAGGGAAGCCTGACCCAACCCTCCAGGCTATTTCCACCCAACAAAATATTTATCTGCAGCTATATCTTTCAAAAATCTATTCCACCCTTCTATCAAGCTAACTACTTCAGGATGGTGGGAGATATGTTACAATCAGTGAATTCCATGGGCAATATACTACTGAACTTCCTTAACTCTGAAGTGGGTTAGAAACCTGCTCAGAAGCCTGCCGTGTGTAACACCATGATGGTGTATAAGGTATTCTATAAGTATGTGGATGGTAGTTTTGGGAGAAGTGTTATGTAAATGTGTAGCCATAAGTTTCTTGTGTCCCGTCCTGCCCCCTGCAGTCCAGACAAATCTCTCTCACCCATGGGCCTGCAGCTGCTCAGACCCAAGTAAACATACAGAGGCTTATATCACTTACAAACTGGATGGCCTATGGCTTTAACCACTTGCCAGCTAGCTCTTTCATCCTAACTTAACCCATTTCTATTAATCTATGTTTTGCCACGTGTTCTGTGGCTTTATCAGTCTTTTGGCATCTTGCTGCTCTTTAGGCATTGGCTGGCATCTCTCAAGACTCTGCCTTTCTCTCTCCTGTCTCTCTCCTTGGATTTCCTGCCTGGATATAACCTGACTCACCATAGGCCAGAGAAGCTTCTTTATTAACTAATCATAACAACACATATTCACAATGTACATAAAGACATCACACAACATGAGTGAAAAACAAATCTACAGCCAAAATTAACATGTATTCTAGAAGGACAAAATGCTGTCCCCGCCATGATAAAAGTGGTCCAATACAAACAAACTTGTCATATTGCTGGATGGTTACACTGGGGAATGATGCCATATTGGGGCCTCAGAATTGGTCTCTGTGACTGGTAAATTTGATGCTCAGAAAAAGGTGTACCCAGGTCAGCTTTGGTGAGTGAAAGTTAATGTTTTTGAGTCTATGTATAACTTCCACATCTGCCATAATGGGTATTTCACTCATGGTCCTACTGGACAATGACAGAGATGGCCAGGGAAAGAGGCTGACTGCCCATGTCAAGGGTCAACCTGTCTACTTGATTACTGAACTCCTACTCTGCTGAAATCACCTTTTGATGAGTATTTACATGGGACACAAGTATCTTCACACCTTTAATCCATTTGGAAAAATGTGTGTGTGTGTGTGTGTGTGTGTGTGTGTGTCTGTGTCTGTGTCTGTGTGTGTGTGTCTTTCTCAAATATCTTTCTCACCAATTTTCCACTCATGCTCTTTCCAAGTCCTTGACCATTCAGCTAAATCATTGGCTACAGCTTATGAGTCAGGGAATAATTATAAATTTGGCCATTTCTCCTTCTAAGTAAAATGTATAAGCATGTATACTGGCTAAAATTCTTTCTACTGTTAATGATTTCTCTTCACCAGAGTTTCTTTCAAGGTTGACTGAGAAAGGTTTTAATACTATAGCTGTTCACTTTTGGGTGGTCCCTGTATAATGTATAGAACCATCTGTAATAGTCACACCTTCAATGCCTAAGAGGCAACCAAGGGCTACATTGATAACCTATATTTTTTCAGAGTTACTTGAACTGTCCTGACCAACTATTAAAAGAAGTTTATTAATATTGGTACTGGAATTTCTTTGGGGAGCATTATCAGCCCAAGTGGCTTATTGTCCACACATACATACACACATACAATTATTTACAATGTAATTGTATGTATTATATACATTAAATATATATACATATACTTTTGTGTATTGTGTATATATTTGATAGATGTAAAATATGGCATTGAGTCTTTATCAAACAAACTTGGCATTATGTGTTCCTTGGCCCTCCTTCTCTTTCTGTATTGATCTCCCTCTTCCCTCTTGCCTAGTTGGAGTCCTCCCCCCATTATTCTGTTTTCTGCTTCATCTTGCTATCTATCATTCCTTTATATTTTTCTTGTTTCAGTGGTTACTCCATGTTATTGTCAATCTCACCATTCAAAAATAAAACCACTACCACAATTTAAAGCCAAATTTGAAGCAAGCTTTAATTAAAACTGGCCAGAGCAGGTGGGCTTTGATCAGTTCTACTACTGTTTTTCCAGAAGATGGCCCTGAATCAAGTTTTCCAGTGGCTTAAGTATGTTCCATCAGGTCCAATCAGGGGCAAGCATACATCCTGACATACCTCTGGCCTACATCCAATCAGGGGCAATTGTACATTCTGATGTATTTCCTGCCTACATGTGATCAAGCACATCTAGTACAGATGCCTCAAACAAACTTGCTTAGGGGAGTAAAAACATGTGGCTTATTATCTCCCATAAACAATAGCCTCCAGCATTTCAGGAACTATCTATCCTTGGAGAAGATGCTTGCAGGGACATTTTTGTTTCATGCATTTCTAAGACATGGTAATTAAAACTTAAAATGTAACTTTGGCTCTCACATTATATACTCATATCTGAGGATTTGAGACTAGGAACTGAGATGAGAGACAGCAAGCATTTGTCTTTCTGGGTCTGGTTTGCATCAATTAATATAATATTTTCTAGGTCCAACAATTTACTACAAATTACAAAGTTTCCTTTTTCTTTATAGACAAATAGTACTCCATTGTATATATGTGTCAGGGACAAGGACAGAATCTCTAGTTAGTGGAAAAATACAGACCCCCTCCCCCCCATAAGACAGGGAACTAGATCATCTTAGAGTCAGGTTGCCTAGCAACAGGATATTGAGTCAGAGCCCTTGACCCTTTCACCCTGTACATCCTACATAAACATCCTGTTAGCTTGTGCCACCCTATGCAGATAACAGCTTCCTGCTCCCCCCATCCTGCAGGAACTATATAAACCCTCCTGGAGAAAAATAAAGTTGCACCTTGATCAGAATATTGTCTTGGTGTATTTTCTTTGTGTCTCCTGTCCCTATCATTCCGTCCTGAGGGTGGTCGAGTTCCCATTGAAGCCCTGCTGGCCAGGGCAACTGGTGTCCAATGTAGATGAAACCACCTCTTGAGGATTCAGAATGTTGCCTCCCGGAGGAAAGACCAAGGCCTTGGTGAAGTTGATGGATCCCCCTGAAATCACCTGGTTCAGGATGCGATTCTGGAGGAGAGTGGAGGCGACGCAGGTAAGAATGTGACAGGCAACTTCATTACAAGATTTATTCCTTTCTAGCCTAAAAGAGCCTCTCAAGACACAAGGAACTAGGGTTAAAAAAAAAAAAAAGACTGTAATGCCTTTTTGGATTATTAATGACATTCTTAGGGTCTATAAACATTCCCCTGACATACAAGAGGTTATTAATACAGGAGAAAAAAATCTTAGAACCCTTCCACTCCCCCTCTACCTGCCCTAAGACACCCCCCCCCCAGCGCTTTCTCGTCTGCCTTCGGTCTGTCCCTCGGATCACGATCTGTGCTCTATAGAAGAGGGGACGCTCATGACTTTTAAACCTAGGAATCCCCAGGAGTCTGCTCCCGCCCATCTTTATCCCTCTGTTAATAATTTTACTGATAACTCCCCTCTAGACCCCACCGAGGAGGCTTCCCTAGAGAAAGGGGCAGCCCGTTACCATAATCCAGACTGGCCCTCCTGCAAAAATCTCCCCTTAAAACAGAAGTCCTTGGGCCCTTTTATGCCATCTCAAAAATCTCTGGTGGTTCCCCCTTCCGCAATGCCCCCTCCCTATGTTTCTTTGTCTTCCCACTTTTGTGGGCCGTTCTTGATGATTTAGCTCCTCCTGTCCCAGACCTCTGGGGACTCATCCTAGGGGGCCACCCAGAGTGGCCCCTCAGACGGTTTGGAAGACCAAAATGAGGAGGGCGAGGAGGAGCCATCATCAGAGGACCCCCCGCCAGGACAGACTTATCACAAATTAAATTTCCGCCTTATTGAAAAGCTGAAATCCACCTGTGCTCAGTGTGGTCCTATGGCTCCTTTTACATTAGCCTTGGTGGAAAACCAGAGCAAACATTGGTTGACCCCTAATGACTGGTATTTCCTTGCACACATGGCTCTTTCTGAGGGTGATTTTGTCTTCTTGAAAACAGAATTTACAGAAAATTGTCTAGAAGTTGCTCAAAAAAATATTGAACAGCCATCCTCAAAAACTTGGATGCTAAAGAAACTCCTCAGCAACCCCCCTTACGATACAAATGCAGCACAGGCAAAATTCCCTCCTGGCCTCCTGGCCCAGATTCAAAACGCTGGGGTCTGGCCCTGGAAACGCCTGCCCCAAAAGGGTTCAGCTACCACCTCATTGGCAAAGATTCGTCAGGGCCCTGATGAACCTTTTAGCGATTTTGTCTCTCGCTTAAATGATGCAGCTGAGGATCAGGCCCTCTGAATAGGTGTGACAGTTGTTTGGCTTGATCAGTTTGGGAGGCAACTAGGCAGTGTGACCAAGTCCTGTGTTCATTGCATGAGTTGGCTGTTTGAAACCTGGAGCTTATGCAGGGACACTTGACTCAGTCTGGGAGGAAGGGACTGGACCTGCCTGGACTGAGTCTACCTGGTTGATCGCAGTCCTCGGGGGAGGATTTGTCCTGGAGGAGGTGGGAATGGGGGGTGGGCTGGGGGTAAGGGGAGGGGGTGGGAGGGGGGAGAATAGGGGAACCCGTGGCTAATATGTAAAACTGAATGGTATTATAAAATAAAATAAATAAATAAAAAAGAAAAAAAAAGAAGAAAAAAAATGATGCAGCTGAGAGACTGTTCGGGCCAAACAAAAATGAAAGTACCTTCCTTAAACACTTGGCCTTTGAAAATGCAAACCCTGCCTTCCACTCTATGGCCCTGTTGCAACAAGGGCTGTCACTGGGCTAGAGAATGCAGGTATCAAGAGTACCTATTTTGAAGTTTTGGCATAGGAAGAGGCCCGGCTGCCAGAGAGTAAATGGCATTGGCAGATGAGGAAGCTTGATTTTTGGGTGCTCACTCTCTGGACCTGCTATTGGACTGCTATTCAGAGTCATGGAAGTATCCAGACTAAATGTGCTTTCAAGTCTAGGAACATCTTCTCTAGGTTCCATTTGTGAAGGCAATGAGAATGGAAGTGAGTACCGATTGGTCAGTTCTCTTCCATTCCAAGGATCACTAGGGTTTGGGGTAGCTACTGGAACTTTCGAGATTTGCCAAGGCAACCATGAGTCCCCTGGGCGGCTAGAGGGGACAGGGCAGTTTGTCTCTAGATGGGCAATCCCCTGGTGTACAAGGCAGGGGCTGTCTCTGAGATCGTGTTTCTGCTCCAACAGAGTAAGGCTAGTCTGGAGGGGGTGGTGGTGAAAGATCTCGAAGTGTGGGAGGTATTGGCAATGGTTTGTCTTTATGAAGGGAACCAGAACCAGTCTGCTGTGGATATCACTCTATATAAATAAAACACTGATGGCCAGTGACCAGGCAGGAAGTATAGGCGAGACAAAAAGAAAGGAGAATTGGGGAAATAGGAAGAAGGAGGAGAGACACTACAGCCACGGCCGGGACAAGCAGCATGTAAAGACGCCGGTAAGCCACCAGCCACGTGGCAAGGTATAGATTTATAAAAATGGGTTAATTTAAGATAAAAGAACAGTTAACAAGAAGCATGCCACGGCCATACAGTTTATAAGTATTATAAGCATTTGAGTGGTTATTTTATACATGGATTATGGGACTGCGGGGCTTGGTAGAAGCTGGAGAGAAGTTCTCCAGCAACACCAGCCTTGGAAGTAGCTCCCAAAACTGAAGTGCTGGCACACCAGATGCTTGCTGTTGTAGAAGGTCAAGTCTTGGTGGTACTGGAGGGAGGGAAGCTTGTGGGGCCATGGAGAATGGAGAGGAAGGCCTTGCCACCTTGGCACCTGCCAACTCCTTCATCATGAAGAGAGAGTCAGAAAGGCCAACAGAAAGAAGGAAAGTCTGAGAAGGCCAGCAGCCCTCTGATTCTCATGATGTGAGGTAGGAGAACATTCAGCATTAACACCATTGTTGATCAGCACAGAAAGATTTAATCCTGTTAATAGTGCCATAAAATAGATACAATCTGCTCCCAGATGGTTGCCGGAAGGCCTGGTTAGAGCTGTAAATATACCTGATCTGCCCAGGAGAGATAGCCCCTCTCCTGAGGAAACTTCTTCTTCTGTTTCAAATGCTGTCCCTCCGGCAAGCCCTCCAGCCTGTTGTCCTCACCCACAGTAACCCCCACCAGCCCTTTAGCTCTGTTATCACTCTGCTCCACCCTTTTATGAAAAGAATGGCTGTTGATTTAGTTTATGTAGCATGTGGGTCATCAACTTCTGTTCCCTTTCCTTGGAGTTCCATTGGCTGAGCTTTAGCAAGCGTGTCAGTTAGAATGACACCTAAAAAAAAAATGGGTGCTGGCATAACTGGATCTCAATATGTAAAAGATTACAAATAGATCCATATCTGTCACCATGCACAAAACTCAAGTCCAAGTGGATCAAAGACCTGAACATAAATCCAGTTACACTAAACTTAATAGAAAAG